CCCCAAAACCCCAAAACCCCAAAACCCCAAAACCCCATTCTGTGCGAAAGTGGTTGAAATTATATTGCAGGATTCTGAGTTTTATTTCATACTCTGTATAGTAGAAATTCTTAAGCCCTTTTTGAGTTCGGCTATTTCCTGGGTGAGACTGTTTTCTTTGTACTCCAATTCTCTTAATTTTTGTGATTTTGCTTTATACTTATCTTTTGCCTTCTTGTATGCTTTCTCTAATTTCTCATATCTTTTATAAGGTATGTACAAGGGCGGATCCACAAGGTTTAGATAGTAATCCATCTCTTCTAGAGTTATACCAGGAGGAAGCCCTTCGACATTATCGTCCTTTTTGAAGACTCTATGGGATATAGTCTCTTGAGTGGAAGAAGAGAGAATCGATGAAGACATTAGAGAGATCTCACTTTGGAAATTGCTGTTAGCCGCTTTGATTACCTTAGCTACATACTTTTTCATGCTCCCCATTGCCTTATCCACATTTTTAAGATTTATACTCTTTGTATCGAATGGATTATCGTCTAAGATCTTCCTGATGTCTTGGTTATAGAGAGATTCAAGCTTGAGGACACTCTCCATAATTGAATCAAGCATCTTCTTGATCTTTTTGTTCATACCAGAAAGCTTATTCTTGATCTTCTCAAACTCCTCTTGTGCTACAGCATTAGTTTCTTCTGCATCTCTCTGAGCCATACTTTGGGACAATATAGTATATTTTGGTCCTCCGATTCTTGAAGCTCCAAGTACACTCTCAGCTATGTTGCTCTTTACAGCTTTCTTTCTAGCCGTTTCCTGGGATGGAAGTAACTCTTTCTTGAGATTAATTACCTCCATCTTCCTTCTGCACGAATCTGCAATTGCTATCAAACTCTCTTCCGATCCGAAGTCATCAGTGGCTCCATCTCTGCACATTTTAGAGATATTTTGGTAAGCCTCTGCTGCCTTTTGATAAAGATTCTTAGCTTCTTCCTCAGACCCTTCCTTTTCATTCATTTCAGCCATGTTATAGTATCTATTGGCCTCCTGGATGCTCTCAGTAAAAACTTTGACGGACATTAATCCAGTAATTAAAAAATATTTATAATTTAGATCTCTCAGCTTTATGATAAATTACTGGGGTTTTGGGGTTTTGGGGTTTTGGGGTTTTGGGGTTTTGGGGTTTTGGGG